CCAGAAGGGCTGGGGGTGTCAAGGGCCTGAGTTAGTCCCCAAGGCCAGTGTCACTGCCTGATCCACATGCCTCAACTAGGTCCCCACACACCCACCTCAGACACGTCAGCAATTTTCACCAAGTAAAAGTGAGATGAGGCCTCAGCAAAGCTCTACAGTATAATCCCTTTCTGTGCGCGTGATACAAAATATTTAGAAAGTTTACAAAACTTCCCACTGAGAATGGGGGTTCCAGGAGAGTAGGAAGCTTCTGGCTTATTCGGCAAGTCCTGCTAGACAAGATCCAAAAAGGACATTCAAAATAGAATCCCGAACGCCTTCATCCTTGACTGAATGTACTTTAGGCCTATGCTCCCCTGCACTGAGAGACCAATGAGCGATCCTGTCGTTTTTTTCCCCAGGCATTTTTCAGAAACTGTGTAGGGAGAGCTACCTCACAATCCGGACCTTTCAGGCTTGGGACTTGCTCGGAGACTTTTCGGAAGCCCACCTTCCTCATAAGGATTAACGGCATTTCATTTCTGACATAAATGAGTCTTCATTTATTCTGCTATTAGCAGCCATGCAGTAAGTATTTTCTGCTGTCAGGGTGCCGGTGAGACAGCCTCGCGCCCCACAGAGAGCCTCTGAGGGGCATTTGCCTCCGATAACTGTGTGCACCTCTATCACGTCCCAGGACCTGGGGGCTTCAAATGGCAATTAGGGGGTTTCTCCTGGGTAAATGGCTAGGGCACTTGAGGGGAAACAAAGACTGCAAACAAGAGGAGAAGATACGCCAGAAAGGGAGACTCTGGGAGGGGCAAAGACGGGCCGGGGAAGAAGTAACCCCAATGACGTCTCAGACCTCTGGGACAATCTCTGGCTCTCGTAATAACATGGAAGGAGTTTGTTTCTGTGTTGTGTTATTTGAAACAAAATGATGGTTGCCAGCGGGGTGGAGGCAGATGAGTACAAAAGGTGAAGGGGAATAAGAGGTCCAAAGTTCCAGTTATAAAATATAAAATTAAAAAGCCGTGAGGATACGATTTACAGCCCAGGAAATATAGTCAATAATATCCTCACTGTGTATAGGACAGATGGTTGCCAGACCTACTGTGACCACCACGTCATAAGATACAGGAATGTCAAATCACTGTGGCATACTCGTGCAACAGTATGGTATTGTATGCCGGCTCTATTAATTTTTTAAATGAAGAAATGATGCACTGCGATGTCAAGACATGCCTATCTTTGGGGACTCTTAAAAGGATTTTCTTTATTTGTGTGAGAAGGGAGGGGTCACTTTACCTATTATGTCTGCCCATAATGAAATAATTCATGGGACCCAAAGGAACCGACCTTGACAACATAGTATGGCAAACACGCAGTCTACTGACCATTTCCTTCCATCTGTTGTTAGTAAAATGCCACATAAAAATTGTAAGCTATTGTCAGTATTTGTCATAAAAAGCTAGTAACGGGAACTCAGAAGTAACAGTCCTGGCAAGAGGCAAACACAAGCCTCCCTGATGTTGTTTCCAGACCTGAGGGAAGGGCTTGTTGTGGGCGAATCCTCATGGGACAACTGAACAGAGGGTCATTTCCCTCCCTATTGCCAACCGCCTACCACACTAACTGCCAGCCAGCAGCCTAGACCAGGCCTCAAGTAGTCTACGGTAATAGACTACTTCCCTGGAATTTAAACTGTCCAAACAACTACATACTGATTACCGTTCACCTAAGCCTTAGGCAATGAAATTAAGGTACTGGGTGGGGACAGGGGTCGTGGTAAGATCTCCAGGTTCATACCTGGGGTTCTCCTCTCACCTCCCCCAATTCCTTTTCACCTTTTCTAGTTTTATGTAATAAAAGAGGTTACAAATGAACATGGGAAATTGAATTATCTGATGTAGGAGATCAGTACACTCAAGCTGCTTCAAACTAACATGAATTCTGATAAAGAAATGGCTTCACAGTGCAGCTTGGGAAGCTCTCTCTCCAAAGATTTAAAATCACACCAAAAAAAAAAAAAGGTTGATGCTTTCTGCATCACTCTATCTCGATATAGATAAATAACATACATTATAAGATTTGTAACACAAGATGGCTAATCACACTTCAAAGGCAGTTTTAAAACCTTGTTTTAAAAGTCACCTCAACTTTTCAGAAGTATGTGGCCTTGAACAAAGCAAAGTCCTCCTGCATTTTTATTAACAGTGTCCCCAAAGCCTTTTAAACATCCCTCTATAAATCCTCACTGCTATCCTCTTACAGGGGAATAAAAAATAAATAAAGAAACGCATTAAAAAACTCTCCCATCACCATTTCAACCATTCAATAGCAAATTCTTCCCAGTAAGATGTTTAAGCGCATTGGGCTCGGAGCCCCTGAAACACGATAACGCCCGCATTGTTTTCCAAGGCAGAGATTTCTCAAACAAAGGCAGGCCAGAGCTGACTCAAACAGTGCGATCCAAGCACAAACACAGCTCCAGAATGCATGAAGTATGAAATCTCGGCGCTGGAAACCTGGATCCCTGGCACGGTGGAATCTAGAACCATTTCCTGTGTGTATGTACTAGGTGGGATGCCATAAACACCTTCCAGGCTCCTAGAGTAAGAGTTGGCAAGAGTCAGGAACTAGGAACAGAGCAGAACAAAGACGTGGAGTGACGAAGCGGACCTTGCCCAAAAATCCTAGCGCTGCAGGGCACCAGGGAGGGCCACTTATTCTTCCCTACGATGTGACAGTAAAAACAGATGACACACCACAGTTACTGAGCACCTACTGTAGGCAAAGGGCTGCTCTTTACACTTCCATCTGCACTAACTCGCAGAACCTGACTCTGATTCCTTCACACTCCTGACAACACAGTTCCCCCCAATTTTTTATTAGGTAGGTTGTAGCCATATATTATTATATATTTAAATGGAGAAAAATTTTAGATATTTACCAGTTTATTTTTTAAAAACTAAAGCCATTACACTCTAACAGAAATAAACTTTTTTATGAAGAGTAACAATATTTTACAAGGCAAAAAAAATTAGTGAAAAGAGTGGTAGTGTCATATTTTAGCAAGTGCCTGCGGTATTTGGCTCGATAGAAGACAGCCTGACACACCTAGATGCTTCTGCATTCAACGGGTTGCACAACCCCAGGTCATATTCGCCTCAAGAAAACTCCATGGACAGTCATGTGGGAATGAACATGAAAAAGGGCTGATAATATCATGTGTCCTCCTGAAAGCAGTTTGGCCTTGGGGCCCTCTGAAAAGTCTTAGGGACTCCTCAGGGTACCCAGACTGCCCTTTGAGAACCTCTGCCTTACGAATTTGGAACAATGATTATCTCCATGAGCAAAATGGCACAGAGAGGTCAGGGGGTTGTCCAGGGACACACTGCTAGAACAGGGCAGAGCCGGTAAAAGGCAGAGAGCAACTGTTGCCCTCATCAGCAAGGACTGAGATCATGAATACAAAGGGTCCTGCAACCCACCTGGCCTACCACAAGTGCTCAAGAACATTAATATTCGCTGCTGGGCAAGGCCAGGGAAACTTCACACATTTCTGATCAACTGATCGTGTGACACCAGCAAGAAAAATTCACTAGAATGTGAGCCCCAGACAGCAGGTGCTGTCGAGAGTATGGACCCTGCCCCAGCCTCCCCCCACCCCCTCCATGGAAGCAGTCTTTGCTACTCAGAAGCTGCAGGGCCTTGTTCCACCCTTCATTAAACGAATGATGCTGCGGGCTGCGCTGCTCGCCGTCACCTTGTTCCTTGGGAAACCTGAGCAAGCCAAGAAAGCTGCTCCATTATTTACAGCCTTCTTTTTGCATTGCGCTGTATTTACAAGGAACCTGCAACAGACAAGAACCACACCTGTGGTCTGCGCAGCCAACCCTCTCCCAGGAACCGGCACCTGTGGTCCTCGCGGCCAGGGGCTCAACACTGCTCTGCGCTCCTTGTCCGCCAACCTTCCGAACCCACGCGGTCGTGCCCGCGGTCCTGTCCTGCCTGCAGCGGCCCACTTGAGCAGCGTGCACCAGGGACGTGCAGGTCACTTTTGTTCCTCCTGGGACGTGGGAAGTGAGTTGAGCTGGGGAAGTGGGTCGGGTGCAGTTCAAGGGACTGCACTCCGAGAAACGCTGTCTGGGCAGGAGGCAAGAGCAGGAGACCTCTGACGCTGTCGGTTCCACCCAAGTGCAGGCCACCAGGACTTGCCACCTGGAGCACTGCAACCAGTCTCCCTGTTTTCACTTGGACACCCCTCTTCACACACGTACATGCACACACCATTCTACTCTCCACCAACCGCCAAAAAGATTTTTTGAAAGTATAGAAAGGACAAGGTCAGTTTTCTTGCAAAAAAACGCTCCCACTCATTTGGAATAAAAAACAAAACTCCTTATCTTATAAGGACCCTCCTCATCTGGCCCCGCTACCTTTCTCTGGCCTTTGCTCTCCCCGCTCCCACCACTCACAGGGCTCCTCCAGGACCTCCAGCAGCTCAGATGTCGCCCCCTCCTCAAAGAGGCCTTTCCTGACGGCCCTCTCTGCAGCCGCGCCAGTCCACCCCTCCATCCTCTTGTGTCTGTGATACCAGGGCACTTACTCTCGGAGGTTATCTATATGTACACTGATGTATTACGCGTCTTCCTCTGGCCACACCTCCCTCCGAGAATGTGAGCTCCAGGCAGCAGTCTTCGCCTGGTCCCCCGCTGGTCCCCAGCGCCTGGCACCACGCCTGGCACAGACTAAGCGCTCAGCAAACTTTGGTCGAATGAATGAAGCAGCGGCGCCGGGCGGCCGCGAAACTCCCTGGCTGGTGTTCCTGGTGTCCCGGCGCGTCCGCACCGTCCCGGCGGCGGGGCCACAGGCGCGGACTGGCCGGGGTACTCCGGCGGGACCCGGCAGCCCCCCACCCCCGCCCTCCACGGAGCCGCGCGCCGGCCGGGCGCCGCAGGTGTCTCCCGGGAGCGCTCGCTCCCGAGGCAGAGCCGGCGCCGGTCGCCTGCACTCACCATGGTGGCCGGGCCGCCGCCGCCGCCGCCGCCCCAGTCTGGCGAGTGCCGAGTGGCGAGCGCGGTGCACAGGCGGGCGAGAGCGGAGCGCAGGAGCTGGCGCGGCTGACAGGTGAGGCATCCGCCTCAGACCATGGCTGCTTCCCACAATGCCCTCGAACTGAAAGTTTGCTGACTCCTCCCCGCCGATTCCCCTCCCGCCCCTCCCGTTATCCCTGCCCCCTTCCTCCTCCCTCCCCGCACTCTCACCCCAAGGCAGCTTGCCCCGCCCAGCGCCGAGCTGGAGGCCTCAGGTGCCGATCCACCTGCGCGCGCTTCGCTGCACCCTGGCCTCGGCGGCCAGCGCGGCTGCAGAAGCCCTCGGGGCGCTCCCTGGAACCCCCTGAGCGCGGACCCCCGAGGGGGCTGTGGGGGGGCTGCTTTCCTGAATCTGCCTTCGAAAGTGTCACTCATTCTTTGGACAAACGTTTTTCAGACCTGGCAAAGATTCTTTCCTATACACTCGCGGAAAGTACCAGGGGTTGTCTCTTCGTAAACCCGTATAGAGGGAGCGTGTGCCTGCGCTAGAATCGGTTTCTTGCCTGTTTATATATTGCATCATATGTATTATATATTATGTATTGCACGTAGCTGCACTCAAAAGCCATAGGTCATTTTCAACATCCCTGTTGTAAGACGCCTCTCCTAAGACTGGCGATGAGTCTCCAATCTCCTCGCCTTGATTTTTTTAAGTCTAGAGTTTTTACCTGGGACGTTAAGAGACCCCCAATTCTCACACTCTAAGAGTTTTGAGCACATATTTATGTCCTTTTGGGAGGTAGGTTGGTTTTATCAAATACCTAAACAGATCAACACCCTAAAAAGGTTAAGAACCTTTGCTTGGGTGGTGCCTGGAAGCCAAAATTGGTGGCAGTCGTTCCCAGGGTCTACTGTGTACCTTCCAAGGCTGTGTGACGGCTCAGGTGACCTGGGAGTAAGGGACACTCCACCGACCAATGCAATGAAGCCACATTTATCAGCACTTTGCCTGTCCCGGGCCTTACAGAAGCAGCATGGAGCTTCCTGATGGGATCAAATAAACAAGTCAATAACTAATTACTAATGAAGGACAATGCAAAGTAGGTGAGATTACAGAGAAGATGGGTGCAGGCACAGGGGAAGCTACATTTATTTGGGTGGCGGTAGGGGAGGTCAGGGAAGGTGGTCAGCTAAGGAGGTGACATGAGGCCTGGAGATGGGAAGCCAGTGCTCAGGGGAAAAAGGTTAGCTGTCCTTTTCAAAAGACCCCAAACAAGGCCTCTGTGGCTGGGATTAAGTGAGGGGAGGTTCCAGAGGTGAGCAGAGGCCAGAAGGCAATGAATCTTTCCTACATTAGGGGCGTCATATACACTAAAGGCCCCCAAGACAGAACAGCCCCCAGCCTCAAAGTTCTCAAAAGGCTAAATGCTCTGTTCCTACGCCCATGATGGCCCAGGCTCCTGATGGCTTTGGCGTCTGCCAGAGGGCCCTGGAGAAGGATTTAACAGTGAAACCCAAGTGATGCATTGAGTTTGTCTCCTGACATACGGCCCACAGTTAACTGTGAATTGAGGAGGGCTGCTTTCTCCTTCCAGGGTCCGTTTTCCCCACAACCTGGACTTCTGGCCTCAGTACATAAGATCTCCTCTTTCTATCTGATTTCAAGGCAGGGCTCAGCCCTGTCCCACACACTTTGCTGATCTGTAAAAAGTACCTAGAGCTTCCTGCTTTAACAATTTTATTGCTAGTGGAAAGAGATGGGAAGACTAAAGGTGAGTTTTAAAGCTAAAGAAATCCCAAGGCTCTTACCATGAATTAAATAAAAGAGTAAAGCAGGAGAAAGTTCCCTGATTGCATGGCCTACGTTAGGGAAAGTTTAATTAGGGAATGAGGGAATTTAGGTTAAAAACTATTTGCAGCCCTTGGGTTCCCTCTCGACCGCGCTGAGATAGGCCGCGGATGCTCTCCTGGGCTTCTCCCCGTAATGTCGTTTGCTCCAGATTCTCAAATGACACCCCAAACCACTCTCAGGGCTGGATACTTCATGTAGGTTATCTTATCTGGCCATCAAAATGACCTGTAATTCAATACCTGGTTTGCAATACTTTCTCCCATTTTATAGTTGCCTTTGTAGTTTGTTGATTGTTTCAAGAAGAACTATGCCCATTGCAGAGGTAAGAGGCTGAGACGCAGCGGGAGTGAGGCTGCAGCAGGCACAAACAGCTAACCAAGGGCAGAGCTAAGCCTGGAACCCAGGCACTGAGGCTCCCCCGAGGCGCACACTGGTTCCCTCTGGAGCCACACACATGGCAGACCCCACTCATGGCGTTAAGCAATCTTTACTCAGAACATTCATGTTTCTCAGTGGAATAGCTTGCATTTTTGAGCCTTGGCTTCCCTATCCTATCTTCACTCCCTTTCAAACTCCAGGTTCTACATGAGGTCAACAAGGCGGCCAACCCTACCGAGGACCTGAGGGCCCCACAGGGACTCAGGATGTTCCTCGGTGAAGAGGGCCCGTGGTCCAATCCCAATGGAGCCTTTAGATTCAAAATCTGCTGTCATGGTGTTAACCCAAAAACAGAAGGCCAAAGTGAAAGGCAACAAACATTTACTTGAAATCCAAAAAAGGTAGGTTTTCAGGAAACACTGAGTCAGGTAGGACCCCAAATAGTGTTCCCATTAGGAAGTGAATAGAAGGGGTACTTATGAGAAAAGGAAGGGGAACAATGAATAGAAGGAAGAAATAGAAGATGCAGGTAAGCTAAATAGTGACACTCATTCCAAAGAATATCTTTAACTTTCCGTTCTCGTCATAACGAACAGTTGTTTGGGATCCAGTGCTGCTTACGCCCAGTCCAAAGGCGCTGTTGCCCAGTTTCAACAGTCCAAGGGTTTGAGGAATAAGACATGCAAGGCAGTTCCTCTGTGATGGCAGCTTCGAGTCCATTTTAAAGTGGCTCTGTATCTGTCATTTTTCATCATCAGCAGTAGTCAGCATGCACAGTGTGTTATATGTTTCCAATCAGGTCATCTCTGAGCCAGTATGTGCAATTCTGTATGTACAAGGACTCAAACCAATGCCCTGGTATTAGGTCAACTCGATTTATGAGTTTCATTCTCAGATCACTCCATAACTGCTTAGTAACAGAAAAATACAGAGAATGCAATGAAAGCCACCATGGAGTTCATGGGGGGGAGGGAGGAGAGGAACAAATTAGGGAGATGATAACACAGTAAAATGATGCCAGTCCATAAACCAAAATATTAATTTTCCAGAAACTGAGAGAGATAACGCTGTGAGTTTTTAAAAAATAAATAAAAGAAGGAAAGGAGAAGCAATCAAACAAGGTTTATTAAAAAGTGAACCAGGTCTTTCTTTCCAATCATAACGGTGATCTAGTCAAATATTAACTAAACTACAGATAACTGCCCGGGGGGAGGAGAAGTTCCTGTGCTTCTTATTTTGCTAGTCTTGTTAAATACAAGAAACTCCCACAAAGCAGGCTGATGGTTATCACAGCCATACCAACAGGAAACGGGGAAATGGAATGCAGGTCCCCCTTCACTGCCGGGCAGTTGCAGTCACCGCTGAAAACACAGGAGATGCCAGCGTAATGGGAGCCAAGTAGAATTGAGAGTCTTTGGTGTTTAAGTTCCACATATAAGTGAAACCATATAGTATTTGTCTTTCTCTGTATGACGTAATGTCACTTAGCAAAATACTCTCTAGGTCCATCTATATTGTCGCAGATGGCAAGATTTCGTTCTTTTTTTTTTATTGTTGTGTAATCAAACAGAACAAAATTAAAAAGACTCATAGAAACAGAGACCAAAGGGATGGTTGCCATGCTGTGATGTTTACACAGTGACAGATGATTAGAGAATTAGTGAGCTGATCACATTGCAAGATATAAAAATGTTGAATCACTATATTGTACACCTGAGGTTAATATAACTAATACAATATTATATGCCAACTGTACTTAAATTAAGAATAATGAAATTAATATTTCCATTTTAAAAAAAGATTGTGAACCTTTGAAACAACCAAAGCATTTTCACATATGAAGACTTGCCATTGATTTGATCCTCCAGTCATTGTTTGGAGACTTGCCTTCCCCACCCTGGGTCTGGGTTTGAAAGGACTGGCATCATTCCCTTTAAAAGTGCATCTCACTGATATCACCTATACCTCAAGGCCATAGTACTCAAAACAGCATGGTATTGGCATAAAAACAGACACATAGATCAGTGGAAGAGAATAGGGAGCACAGAAATAAACCACACCTTTCTGGTTCATTAATATTTGACAAATGAGATAAGGACATACAATGGGTAAAGATAGTCTAGTCAATAAAGGGTGCTGGGAAAATTGGACAGATACGTGCAAAAAAAGAAAAAAAGAAACTAGACCACCTTCTTACACCGTACACAAGAATAAACTCAAAATGGATTAAAGACTGACGGGTTAGACTTGAAGCCATAAAAATACTGGAAGAGCCTTGGCTGGTGTGGTTCAGTGGTTGAAGCATTGTCACAAAAGGCTGCAGGTTTGACTCCCAGTCAGGGCACATTCCTAGGTTGTGGTTCATCTCTAGCTGGGGCAAGGGCACACGTGCAACCCCCCACCATCTGGGTGTGTACAAAGGCAACCAATCGGTGCTTCTCTCCCATCAATGTTTCTTCTCTCCCTTCCTCTCTTTCTTCCTCTTTCTTTCTAAAAAAGCAAGTGAAAAATGTTCTTGGGTGAAGATTTTTTTTAAAATCCTAGAAGAAAACATTGGCAGTTAAATCTAGGGCATTTCTCTTAGTGTTATCTTTCCTGATACATCTCATTGGGCAAGGGAAACAAAAGGAAAAATAAACATGTAGGACTACATCAAAATAAAAAGTTTTTGCACAGCAAAGGAAACCATCAACAAAATAAAAAAACAACCCACAGAATGGGAGAACATATTTGCCAATACTTCTGATAAGGGGTTAATATCCAAAATGTATAAAGTACTTAAAAAACTCAACACCAGAAAAACAAATAACCCTGTTAAAAAATGGGCAAAGGACCTGAAAAGACACTTCTCTAAAGAGGACATACAAATGGC